TTTTTTTTTTTAATAAAATATTTACAAATTGCTTTTCTTTTTTCATTTGCCAAGTGATTAAAAAATGCCATTAGGTCTTTGATTGATGCAATTTGATGCAAGTTGTATATAAAAATTAGGTTTTAATTACTTATTTTATTGTTAGATTTAACTACATGTTTGAACATGAATTAATTAAGAGTTTCAAATATGTATATTTATTTGATCCATTAATAAATTGAGAATTGATTCCTTGCCTGTTGTCAACAACACTTACCTGGTAATGCATAAGTATGTTCATAGTGTGCATAAATATCTCGGAGGCGAGCCGTCCGTCTGGTTTGTAGGGCAGCAGTAAGTACTGAATGCCCAGCAGAGGTACCAGGATTAAGGTGGCCCTGACGGCCCTCATGTACAGACTGGATTCTGCCTGGTGGGTCACCTTCAGCTTAGTGATCAACACTCTCACAATGTTTAAAAGGAAGAAGAGGTTAATCTGAGGAAACCAAGCAGAGAAAAGAGCAAATATAAAGAGAGGGAAAAAGAAATGCATTGCAGTACCCCAAAACCCTTTACCGTACACAGTAAAGACACAGTAAACATAAAGGTATTTCTTCATGATTTTATGTCATATGTTTTCTTTATTTTTACATTTTTCAAAATGTTAAACTTTCTTTTTATTTCCAGGTCTTTTGGACCCCACTGTACATTCAAGCATGGATTCACAGCTAATTACTAAAGTTTGGATTATGTTATATTATCTGGAAAGATGTATTCAGACATATAAGCCTGTCAAAATACCTGTAAATTGTAACATAAACAGACAAGGATATAACAATATATTCAAGACTGGTGGTGGACCAAAGAGTTTGAGAATTGGTTACTGAGACGGTATTCCAACACAATCTCACAGTGATTTTTCACAGTTTTTATGTTTTGGTGGTTAATTCGTATGAATTTGTATGATCTCATCCATATGTTTTCGTATAATATGCTTACATCCCAGTGATAATTATCTTTAGGGTTGGACCCTAATGCTTACTTTTTTCTAAAAAAAATGTGATTCACATCATACAAATGAAATCGCCACTTTGTAAAATAGTTACGTTTTTCTGTGAGACTGGATTAGATATTCATCATCAACCACCATTCTGAACATATAAATATGCTTGTGAACAGCAATAACTGTTTATAATGACACAAAATCAGCTTTAAACTGGCAGTTGCATCACTGCAGAAGTCAGTCCAAGATTCATTTGATACTGAGCTCATTACATGCTTTTTATGGGCTGCAGAGGAAATCATTCCTAATCAAAACTGACCTCAACGCAAACAACAACGAGAACACGGCACTTTGATTAAAACTGCCAGAGCTTAAATTGATTTTTTTGAAATCAAGATCATGCAGATATAAGGGTGGGTAGAAGATAAACAAAAGATATAAAGTGTGAGATTATGAAATAGTGAAAGAAAGTAAGACTAGAAAAAGAAAACCACACTTACCAACAGGGCTGCACAGATGGGACCATGAATAATGTAGAGCAAAGAAGTGTTCGAGCTTATCCAACAGCTGTGGACAAAAGCGTAAGAAAAGTGATTTCAGATTTACGGAAAGCAGAACCGATGAACACATGAACACTTCATTAAATGTTCAGTGACATCACTGCTATAATTTCACAAGATGTTCTACAGAGCCTCTGCCTGGTCACTGTATTCCTGCATCCTGACAGAAGCTGGGATCAATTGAAGGTACATTTTTTGACATTGAATTCAAAATTGAGAACTAATTCAGTTTTTAAAATTGGTTCCATGGTACTACAGTGTTTATTGCAATCTACAGCATAAGAAATTATATTTTAGCAGTGTTTAAATGTGCAGTCTGAATTTTAATGTTGAATGAAAGAAGTCATTAATGCTCACCAAGGCAGGATTTATTTAATCACAAATACAGTAAAATAAGTAATAAGTAATTATCAATGTTGAAAACTGATTTTTTTTTTTTTAGAAATTTCAAATAATTACTGTCACTTTTGATCAATTTAAATGCTATGTTTACTAATAAAATGTATTTATCTTTTTTAAATATTAATTTAATTACCCAACACCATTGAATGGTAGTGTATCACAGTTTACACTAAATATTAAACAGTACAACTGTTTTCAACATTAATAATAATAAATCAATAAATTGGCATATTAAAATGACGACTGAATTAATGGTTGCTGAAAATTCGGCTTTGCCATCATAGAAATAAATTACATTTGTAAATATATTAAAATAGAAAACAGATATTTTAAATTGTAATAATATTTTTTATATAATTTAACATTAATATTATTACATAATATTACTGTTTTTACTGTCTTTTTTACCAAATACATGCAGCACCTGTGAGAATAAGAGATGCCTTCCAAAAGACTTCTTTAAAAAAAAAAATCATAATTATTCCAAACTTTCTCTTTGGTAGTGTATATATACACACTGTATATATTACATTCAAAACAATATGGTTGATACTGTAAAGATAAATATTTTATAACAGTATTATAAAAACAGTTATCTACAGTTGCTCAGTAGATAACTATGGCTGCTTATAAGGAGGAGGGATGCTTCCTCAAAAGAAATGTTAATGGAATTATTATGGAACCAGAATCATTAAGCAGGAATTCTTAAATTCCAATTCGATTGAACTCACTTGTCATTGTAGTAATAACTTCGTGATATTGCATGGATAAATGCAGGTATTAATGGGAAGCCTGGAAAACATTTGAAATAAATAACATCATTAAATGTGAAAAGAAAACAGAAAGCCAGTGCATTTCGACAAGGCGATTTAAAAAACGTACCCCATCCTAGGAGGTAATACCACATGAGGTGCTGCTTCTCAGCAAACACTGCCACAACAATGAGTGTGTGCAGGTAGATTCCCTCACACAACATCCAGAAGTAGTTACAGCCCAGGAGATAATGGTGGATGAACACAGACACTTTACAGCTCACCTGGGAGAAAAACCAGCAACATGAAATCAATATGACCCTGTTCACCTTCTTAAAGGGGTCATCGGATGCCCATTTCCCACAAGTTGATATGATTCTTTACGGTTTTAATGAAAAGTCTGTAACATAGTTTGGTTAAAATTTCTCAATGGTAGTGTAAAAAACACCTTTTTTACCCTGTCAAAAACAGCTCTTTTCAGAGCAAGCCATTTTGTAGCATTTTCCTTTAAAGGGGTGCTATTATGCTTTTTCACTTTTTCAACTTTAGTTAGTCTGTAATGTTGCTGTTTGA